AAAAAAAAAAAAAAAAACCAACATACCAAAAAAAAAAAAAAGAGACTGAACAATCCACTGCCATGTACACACAAGTATAAAACATACATACCCAATATACACACACAAAAAAAGGCAGACAGAACAATCCACTTTCATGTACACACAAGTATAAAACACCTATTCTTCCTCCTCATGTCTTTGTTTCTTGCACTCACTCTCCTCGTTGTCTCTCTCTCACACACACACACATATGCGTACGCCTCATTTATCTCTAGGTAAATACATGCACACACTTAAAAATTACATGTAGTCGACATTGTAAACCCGAAACAAGTATCTAATCACCACCACCACATTGTTTGCACAGAGGGGGAGGGGAGACAAGTTAATGGCCTTGCTCATCATGAGACTTGAGAGCCAACAAGGACAATAGCTGGCCTTTGATGAGAACTTAAGTGCCTTGCCCATTGTGCAGTTTAGATTATTCAAACTCTGCATTTTATAACTCATGAGGCACTGCTATTCAAAGTGAAATTATTGTACACTTGCACTCTGGAGGCCAAATATCAATACACCAAGAAGTTTGGTACTATGCTCAACTATTGATAAAAATGATTTTGCACGGTTATCCTGAAGCTTATAGATTTAGACTATCTAGTAGTGTAGTTGTAATGCCAATCAATGAGAACAAAACCACCATAAAATCAAGCCAACCTTTCATGAAATCAAGTCAGCCCCTTCACCAACTACAAATGCACACACACATCAGATCACCACACCACCACCAATTAGCACAAAGAAAGAAAAATAATTTAAAAGCAAGATATGATGTTACTACCACTATTATCACCACAACACCGCAATAATTACGACAACACCATATGATGCGAAGTCTTTAGAACTGAACGTATGAGTAAATGTCATCGCAGTCAATATGCCTTTGAACTATGGTTAGGGTTCCCTCAAGGTTCTTGATGAGATCGGATATAGTGGGAGTGTATAAAAACTGGACAAGTCTTTGAAGCGCTGCACCGCCACCCAGTCAACACACACAACCCAAAACCCCACTCTTTCCTACTACGCACTTAGCCCACTTTCTCTCCACCAACACCGTCATGTTCTCCATCATGCAAGCACCCACCTAACCAAAGATCTCAAACTTGTAGGATTTTAATTGATCATGATTTGGATCTTATAGGATCGAAGGAGTCTAATCCGAATGGTGATTTTATCGATCAAAGTAGCTGGTTTTATTTGTTAGGCGCATTTAGTTATTGAGCAAACCCAATTTGTATTTATCGTGTTAATAGTTAAAGACTCAATCCAAAATATGACTTCACATATACTTTTTAATCTATTCGAGAATTTCACTAGATGAGAAAAACTACATAAAGTTTGTGTTATTTACAAAAAAATCTCTTTATTCCTTCGTCACTTGCTAGAAAGTTAAAAGTAACGTTGAGGTTTGATCTTCTCTCTGGATGAGTGATTATGGGCATAGTCTTCCCTTTTTATTATTTTATGTTTTTTTTTGGTTTGGATGTTGAAAAGTCAAAGTTATAAATCAACAACCTATCATCTTACCAGTCTCTCGTCTGTATCTATATCTGTCCAAAAGTTAAGATCAAAGGACTTCTATTCTCATTTTCCTTTTCGCAAAATCCCACAAGAATAACAATCCACCTTTGACTTTCAACCCTCTTCAATGCTCAAATTGTAGTTTATCATATTTAAATCACATCTCTAAGTTCTATGTTTTTATACTAGGCTACTTTGAATTTTTTTTTTTTTTTTGAGAATTCAATTTTGTTCATATGTTATTCGTATCATTTTTTCAATTAGTAGAATCTTATGATTTTCGATCCGATCCTACAATCCAAGATAGGATCTCGATTTTAAAAACATTTTGAGTGACCTGCCATCACCACTTGATAAGGACACTAGTAAGCTCGTTGTTGCATATTAATATTTGGTTCGTGCTAGAGGTAACAAATCAGTACTGCCAAAGGAGATACTTAAAATTGCTACAGATTGGTGTTGCCAAAGATGTTTCTAATCCTATCTTCATGTCAAGAGAGCTTAGTCATTTAACAGATGTTGTTGATCCTATTTTCTAGTCAAGACATTAGCCGTTTACCACAGATTGCCGCCTCCATCAACGATTGAGGCACTCTAGTTCGGATGGGTCTAGCTTTGATTAGCGGTGGCTTAGGGGAGAATTGTCATGGTGGGCATTGGCTTTGGTGGGTGGCATGACCGTGGTTATGGCTATTAGAGGGACATGGGTGGGGTGGTGGAGATCGACATGAGAGAAAAAAAGATAACTGAAAAGGGAGAGAAAAAAAAAAGGTGGGTGTGCTTCAAGAGCACATATTGTGTGTATGTATACAATTACTAACAAGGGGTGTCAATAATATGGCTCTTAAGGGTAAATTCATAAAAAGTCACACTCTATTGCTTTGTTAGTAGACAATTACTAACAAGGGGTGTGAAGGGTGTCAATAATATTTCAGGAAACAAAAAAGATGTCTCTGAAATTATGCATATATACAAGAGATGTTGAAGAAATTTACCCTTGATTTTTTATAATATATAATACAAACCAATATGAAACTATAAATTTTATTATCTACCTTCATGTCGATGTGTTATTATGAATTATGATTCGTTTTGGAACTATTATTAGAAGTCTAAAATCAAGTTAAGGATCTGTATATAATGTATATTCATATATAATATCATCTAATAGTAAAAGTGGTCTAAATAAGACTTACAAAATTAACCAATACGCAAAATAACATATCAACTAAACCTACACCCACCCATTGTACAACGTATTTGAAAAAGTATCATCCCAAGTCCCAAATTGACCCATGATTCACCCATGATTCAGGTAATATTAATTTATAATAATTTCTAGAATCTAGATTCATTCCTTGATACTCCCCTCGAGGAAAACTGACCCCTCCCCCAAAAAAAGAACCCCTACCATAAATCCTAAGCCCGAAATCCTAAGCCCGAGTTGCAGGTGTAATTGGAAAGAGAATTGGGGATGCACTTAACCATGAAACAAATGAATTTTGACTCCAATCGAGATGAATGACATAGGGGTTTACCCTCACTCTCCTTTGCCAATAGGCTTTATAGGAATGTTAATGCTGATAAATATAAATAAATATTCCTAGAGAAAAAAAGCTCCAACATACAAAACCCCATTCTTTTAAGGAAACAATAGCCTTGATTAAAGAAAGGAAAAAGTATAATAGTTATGGACAACAAATCCAACTATAAGTAGAATACTTTGAAAATATAATGTATAATATTGAAATTAAAAACAAAAAATTACAAGTGAAACCACCAAAACTCTAAGTTATGACCGCCCATAGAGAAGTCTAAAACTTGATTCTATCCCATAGTAACTCTTCATATTCAATTATATCGTCAAAGATTCTA